TCAAAAATACATTTTTCAAGATGGAAAATTGGTTATTAGAATTATTATATTTCTTAAATCTTAAACTATTATAAAATATTTTTTTATTTCTCCTCTACACAAAGRACATCTGTAATATGGTAAATTCTTATATGGTGGCATCTTTGTATATGTTTCATGACAAGGAGCACACAATCCTTGATGCCGACAGGGTGATGCTACGACAGTGGCCATTGAATACTTGCATATATAGCATTTTTCTGATACAATTGGTTCAACTGAAAATTCAAAGTACTTATGTTAAATGATAATTATGTATATTAATTAATGTAATATGCATGAATGGTTAATGATTATATATTTTTAGTTTAATATTTATTTACAGGTCAAGTCTTCAAGACAAATGTTGATAGTTTGTGGTAATACTGGTCTTGCCGGTTGTGGTATATCCTCTTCATTGTCCAGCCCATGAAGAAGATGCAATACTAAAAATAAAAGATTATTATGAATATTTTAGTTGTTTCTTAGTGAGTACCTATATTAAATTTTACTATTTATTTGTCCATCAACAATAGRCCATCTTTGTAAAATTTGTTCTMTGGCATTAAATGGTTKTCRAATCTCTAAAACCGGTTGTATTTCAGGAATWGGTTGGGCAAGAAGCATTGGTCGAACTACTCCAAAATTTGGAGTGATATGTTTAGTGCATGCCAAAAATTCCATAACTGTGTAACGCCCTTCAGTCAACAGCCTAGAAGCCAAATCAAKGTTTCTTTGATGGTCTATCCAGATTTGCCGTTGTGGTTCCCTGACCTGGATACCATCAATCGCCAAGTTATAATCGGCCAATAYACCACTARAGTATGTAATTAACCCTTCTGTAAAATTGAAATGTTGTTTAACACCTATTATGGATAATTATATTTKTTTTGTTAGAAATTTGTAGTTGCTTTATAGTTATAGTTAATAAAAATTTTAAAGTTACGAAGGAAAAATGTTAAAAATGTTTTATGTTTAAGGTATATAAGCAAACATAATACAAACATATACATTAGTAAAAATTATAAAACAAATTACTTAAAAACACCCATGGTTCTGGTTGATGCATATTACCTATGTGCATACGAAGGTGTTGATGGCTAACTTCTAATACATTATTTGTCCGCCAAATAACATCATTCACAGACAAGATATCTGCATTTGGTCATATATAATGTATATATTATTTTTTAAATGCACTATAGTTATTATTCAATATTTCTCAAACATTGTAAGTATTTTACCTTTCATATTTAAATTATAAACAATTGAATAAGTTAAAATAAGTATATAAATTTAATTTGAAAAAAATGTGTTAAATACTTAAACCAAGTTCGCAACTATTAATATTAACATTTCACCTAACAATTTTACAACTAGCCTATACATGTAAACGATTGGACAAGTAAATTAGTAATTGACCAATTGAAATTAAAATTATGTTAAATTGTAATGCAGCAAACTCCCGATGTCATCTTTTAATATTTATCAGGATTTACAAACCTTGGAGCCATGTTGATTTATAATATTGAAAATATCAATCAAATTTTCTACAGCTTTCCTCTGGTAAATTATTTTCGACATTTTCTGAATAAAAATCTATTATAGAGACAAAACCTTCCATCACTTTATCCATAGGCAACAGCGGTAATGCCATTAACATATGAATAATGTCGTACACACCTCGATGTCCAGTACACATTTCTATCATTCCTGACTCCTGTAATAAATTTAAGTTTGTTTATTACATATTAATTTAACTAGGTATCAAAAATATTTATAAACTTACTGAATTCCCCTACTTTTCTCCACAGAGCACATTATTAAAAATTGTTTTCAATGAAACCATTGCGGCTCTTTCAAAATCCACAATAATTGTTTGTGGTGTCCATTGTGGCTCAATTTCTAACAACCTTTTAAACAAAGCATTATACGCCCTCACTTTCTTTCTTGAAATCAATGCAAATGTTACTGGGAAACCCTAAAACACAAATATTTTATAATTAAAAATGTATACATAGTTGGATGAGGGGTTTTATAATATAAGTATTCCTTGCTACCACTTACTGCTGTACTTGAACATTTAGTTTTTTGTCAATGTCTATCCTCCTTCCCTCCCTTTCCTAATTACTGTGTTATGTACCTCAATAAGCTCAATATAMTTGGATATGATATTTATGAATAATTAGTTAATAAGAAAAACATCTTACAAATGGATTTATTGGTTTACCTAAGGTAAGCAATGATTATCATATTGTAATTTACAATATTTGTATAAATTAATATAACTATATATAGGTATAACTCACGGTGTTAAATGTTATACCCATTATAACATAAAGCTGTTGACACTCCCGGTTAAATGATGGAGCAGCACTAAATGTACCATCCATCAAAAATGTTGTTCCAGTCCTAAGTRTACTGAAAAGGAAAACATAGGTTTTATACTATTATTTAAATGTATTTACATACATATCAATATAATTAATTTTATAGGTATATAGTATTAGTACTAAGTAGGTACATATAGTTTACTATTTAATTTCTGGTAATACAAATAACATTGTTATCCCTTCTTCAGGGACAGTGCCTATTTTCCCCTTATAAATGGGTGCATTATTCATCACCAGGACTCGGAACTTTATGCATTTGCATCTTTTTCAGGAAGSGGCATATTTAAAATCTGATTCGATACAAATTCATTTCATAAACCATACAACTGAAATACAAAAATTTATATTGCATATTTTAGTAAATTTATATGATTTTGCATATTTAAATTTTTTGGGTATATAAATGCATTTTATGTTAAAAACGTATTAGAAATCAACAATATACAAGTTTTCAATAATTGAATATTGTAAATTTGTAAATTAAATGATTTACAACTAAAAAGTCTCCGCACATCGTTGCCTTTTTCTAAGAGCTGTCACTATTGTAATCGGTGACGCTCGCCCGTATCGTTAAAAGTGTTTATACTAAGAAATAAGAATTGGCCATAACTCGTAATCGTAATGACCGACCAGGTTTTTATGTATTATATTTATGTCAACGTCGTTGGTTAGATAAAATTTAACAAAATACCCATATACCAATTGTATTGTGTTGTACCACTTATACTGAGGTGTATGTAAGTATGTGTGCGTTCGTGTATCGAAAACATATTCGATAACGGTGGTCTTGTAACTTTAATAAATTTAGTGTGTTCGACGTTCGTATATCGTATTGTTCCGTGTTCRCTTGTGCTCGATTACCGTTTATGTGCCACGTAAAATTGTGATTTTATTATTTGACAGACAAAAGTTAAAATGCCTAAAGAAAAAAAAAATTTAAGTAGTCGTTTAAATACTTTCGTGTCCGAATTCGGTAAAAAATGTTTTTAGTATTGACACTAGAGTATTATTTTGCAAATATTGCGAAACGAAAGTAGATTCTGAAAGAAGATCCAGTGTAATACAGCACTCGAAAACAGAAAAATATTTGCGTTCTGTTAAACGTAAAGAAGATCAAAAAGAGACCAAATGCCAACCACTATTAACCAATGATTTATCGTCTAAAAAATCGAAGTTCAACCTGGATTTATGCAAAGGTATGGTATCTGCTAATATACCACTTAATAAATTATCAAATGTAGAGTTTCGGAAATTTTTGGAAGATTATTCTGGAAGAGATGTCCCCACAGAATCAGTACTTCGAAAATTCTATTTAGACGACTGCTACAACGAAATGATGGAAAAAATTAGACAACATGTTTTCGACCGAAAAATTTGGGTATCACTTGATGAAACAACAGATGCAGAAGGTCGGTATATAGCAAATCTAATAATAGGGACTTTGGAAGAGGATACTGGTCAAATTTTTTTACTGAATACTGAAGCACTAGAAAAGACCAATCACTCTACAGTTAGTAAACTTTTTGACAAATCTTTAAGCATTTTATGGCCTGATGAGATAAGACACGACGACGTTTCATTATTTTTACGGTTTTATCTAAAAATATTGGTTTAATGACGCTTAAACAAATCTCGTCAATACTTAGTGGATCAATCTCCACCATGGATGGTCTTCTTGAAGATCTGACAACAAATGACCTTATTTTCTACAAGTACGCACCAATTACGTCCGTGGATGTCGAAAGATCATTTTTTGTTTACAAAAACCTTCTGAGCCACAACAGACGATCATTTAAACTCGAAAATATAAAAAAGCATCTTATCATTCAGTGTAATTCATGTAAATATAGCAATTAATACTTAACATGATTTAATAATCACTGTATTTGATAAATTCTATTTTTTTAAATTTAGGATTCAAAATAAAAATATGAATAAAATATTTATGATTCAAAAATAATTTTTTTTTATAATTAAACTTTAAAATGTATCTTTTTATAAAATAATAAATGCATATTTTACTGCATATTTGCGTTTTTTTATTGCATACGTTCATTGATTTTTGGTGCATAAARTTCTGAGCCCTGTTCATCACTGAAAGATGAGCGTAGTCATAAATAAGAATATGGTATAGATGAACAACTACCATGTTAGAAAAAATGACATTGCAAACAGCGCTCCTGGTGTTTGGTATAAGTACTATGAATTAAATAGTGGTTCTCATTATATTACTTTCAACTTTCAAGGCTTCTCATTTTGTTACCATATACTCGGATGTTATTTTTTGATCTGAGCCTGTTTTTTTTTTTTATTAGGTATAAGTATATTATATAGCCCGATAATAATTATAATCTATAACTTTTTATTGGTGGATAGTATTAAGGTAGGTTAAAATATAATAAACAGATTGTTACAATACAACTTTAAGTACATTTTATTACACATCACAAGTAAATAAATACAAATAAATATAATAATATAATAATTATTATAAATATAATATTTGTAATAAATACACATACATAGCAAGTAAATAACAATATAAGAGGATAATAATAATAAATATAATATTAATATAATAATATAATAATATAATATAAGTATGTAAGTACTTTGTATAAAAACCGATTGGCGTTAATCATTATAAATAAATAAATAAATAAATATAATATTTGTAATAAATACAAATACAATATTTAATGATATGCACTTTCTAGACAAATATGCAAATGCCTAAAGTTCCGAGCCTTGGTTATAACAAATGATAACAGCTAACAGTACTGTATAGGATGTCTTTAATTTTCATATTCCATTTTTTAAATCTATTATTCGAATCTTTCAAATCAT